TGACCGAGCGCCCAACTTTTCAGAGGGGGGGTGACACCAAAATGACTGTGAGTCGTTTTGGTGTCACCCCTCCAATGGTGGCACCCGGGTGCGGGCCGCACCCCCCTTGTGACGCCACTGCCTGGCAGCTACATAAAAGGGAATGTAGGGAGGTCATAGGAAGTGTGAAGGAGCTGGCCCAGTGCAGACAGTAAATAGACACTCCCAGAAGAGGAGAGGACTATGCCCTGCAAGAAAAGAGGGGGCAGGGCTAGGAAATTGACTCTTCCTGGAGTGGCCAGATTTTCTACTAAGTTCTAAAGCACCTTGCAAGTGAAAAGAATAATTGCTGGAACGGGAAATGCAGCAAGTCACCATTTCAAATAATTTCTTTCTGCTTTTAGCTGCATTTTTATAATTTGGTGACAGGGTCCCTTTAAACCACACAAGTGACTCCAGAAACACGTGTAGCTTGAAGGTGATTGGTGATGCAGGAAGCAGAGAGGAAATTACACAGGAAGTGCACGCCTAGTGATCCTGTGGGGTGCTCTGGGGATCCTGGTCGCACTTTTACATTAGCACAGCTGCAGCACTTGCTGGAGGACATGAGCAGCTCGTTGACTTGTCACCTGGAATGGTGGTTGAGCTGTATATGACAAACCTATATATAGTGTGAGGACTGTGCAGGGTATGCAGGCCTGATGCCCTTTTTTTCCTGTCTCATAGGTCTGTGACGGAGCTTCGCTGGCCATGAGCTTGAAGGACCAGAGAGATAACACATTGGGGCGAGGTGAGCTGAGATTTAAATCCACACAAGTATCCCAAAGACGGGTGAGAAGCATTCTGTATCAACCATGATATTCGTGTGGCTGCCGGCCTTCTGACCTTTCCAAATATCCCCCCCCCCCCCATGAATGGGGACCTGTGAAAATGCAGCCAGCGTGTTCCTAGCTCCGCCCACTGCAATCCTCAGAATCATGTGACTCCAGAGCCCTGTGAGAAGCCGGCTGAATCTGGCTGCACTGGATGATATGAAACGCAGATGAAGATAAATAGTGTGACCTTTCCTTTAACTGATTTTGTCTTTTTTATTGTGTTTCAGCGAAAGACCTGGACACAGACAAGTACTTCCATTTGGTAAGTGTTAATATTCTGTCTCATTCCTTCTAAATAGGAATATTGTTAACAAAATAATTGTAATATTCGCAGATTATTATATTTCTTAAATAAATGTAAAAAAATGTGAATGCTAAAAAAAAATATGCTTGGTGTAGTACAGTGCATGGCCCATAGGCAGAGCAGGTTAGCGCCACCTAGAGGTCATACAGAGCACTGCACCTAGAAATCATTTTATAGAGACCCGGTCACCTTTCAAGTCACATGACTAGGGTCTTTAAAGGAGAACTATGAGGTGAGTTTTCACTGAGTGATTTCACTGAGTGATTTTCACCTCATAGTTCTAGCCGACCTGTGACAATGAGACTGTCACAGGTCAGCTCAGTAGATCGGGAGGTGAGCGAAGACAAACCGGCGTTCGCTCACTTCTCGATCCTGTGCCGGCAGAGAGCCGTGACAGGGGAGGGACTGGATTCCCCCCGCCCCTGTCCGATCCTCCAGCGTTGACTGGGGGAACGGACGGGTGAGGGGGCGGTTACAGCTTGCTCTGCCTTTAGATAGGCAGAGCCAGCTGTCACTCACGCAGCTGGGTGGATCCAGACATAATTGGCGGGATCCGTTCTGGCTGCGGCGTCTCAGTATACCGCGAGCTGTAGGTCGCGGTATACTGAGCTTAGGGTGACGGGAGGACGCTAGCTTGTGTCCTCCAGCTACCCTTAGGAGAACTATGGGGAAAAGCCTTAACCCCATAGTTCTCCTTTAAATCCCACTTACCGACAACCTTTTTATCATCGTCACAACGCTGCCCACCGATCTGTCCTGCGTCGCAAACACGGCACAATACCAGGTGCTGGATTTTACAGGCAGCCATGACAATCACCCCTCTCTGGCTGCTAAACCCGAGCACTGCATCATGAGAGGAGGAGGTGACACGCTGGCTTCATAGCTGGAGACATTGAGAAGGGGATTTATCAAAACTGGAGCGGCTGTGTACGGCAACCAATCAACTTCTCCCTCTCATTTCCAAATCTTAACTGAACAAGCTGAAAGGTGCCCATACACCTTACGACCATCGCAAGACCTTTGTCTTGCGATGGTCGTAAGCTCATTGAAAGCTCGTACGATCTGCCCATCTTGGAGGGGCAGATCGTACTTGCGATCATCGAAAGCCCGCCCCGCTGAGGGGCGGGCTTCCGATGACCGCAGTGAGGGGCGGGCTTCCGATGACTGCAAACGGGCAGTGTGCGCGTGCGCACACCGGCCCGTTCGGCAGTTGTCCAACAAGCAGGCCACTAACCCGCCGAGAACCGTACGATTCCCGGCTGGTTTTCCAGCCTGCTTGTTCGACGGAAGACGTGCGACCGTACAGTAGAAACGGTCGCACGCCTTCCATACACTGCACGATTCTCGTACGATCGCGGGATCTGAAGAGAGAAGCTGATTGGTTGCCCTGCACAGCTGCTCCAGTTTTGATAAATTCCCCCCTCAGTGTTTTGCGGCGGCTGCAACGGAAGAAGTAGCGGCATGGGAGCTCTTTGTAGGTATAACTGGGTCTTAGGGTGGGCTTTAAAGAGACCCTGTCACTTTGTCCTGAATGGGCATGGGTAGAGAGTCAATTTAAAAGCATATTTCTAATAAAGAAGGTGCGACAATCAACTGTGGGGCCTTTTGGGGGTCCCGAGGCTTCATCAGCGCATTCCCTCCCCTTACTCCACTTCAAATAGATCAATTGATAGGAATGCATTTCGGGGGCCCTGCCCCCAGCCTGGCAGCGTGACGCAATGCTGTACATTCTATACGTACTGGATGAGCGCTTCAGTTTTACAAAAGTACCGCCGTGGGTAGCCAAATTCCGGCCCTCCAGCTGTGGGGAAACTACAAATACCATCATGCATCTGTCTCTGGGTGTCATGCTGTGGCTGCGGGAATCTTGCATTGCCTCATGGGAATGGTAGTTTTGCCACAGCTGGAGGGCCGGAGTTTGGCTGCCCACTGCATTACAGCAATAGTCATGAAGCATCAATGCATTAGGATCAATTCAATCCATCACAGTACAACTGAAGCTTATTTCGGAATGCGTAATGCGTTTCGGAAACTGATGCCAGCACAGGATGAACATGCAAACACCATGCAGATAGTGTCCTTGGCGGATTTGAACCGGGGAACCCTAGTTCTGCAAAGGCAGATCTGCTGACCACTTAGCCACTATGCTGACTCAGTGGTTAACACTTTAAAACCCTTCTGTACTCCCCCCTATCATACTGAATTCTACCAAGACCTGAACAATGGCAGCCAATACGGCTCGGATGGGTGAACCTGTTTTATAAATGCGGCAAATCTTGTGTCAGGCACGTGGGGCAAATAAGCATGCAGAACAAATCAATCACTGCCACCCCCCCCCCCCCCCCCC